TGGCCCGTGGACGATCGGAACCATGGGATCTTATCGGGTCTAATCATCCATTCCCCACCATCCGTTTAAGTCCAGATGGTGAAAATTCCAGTTTTAAATATCAAATCTCTCAATCTAAATTCCAAACATATGAACCTTCAAATTCTCAATTTCAATCCAATTACCAATACCTAAATCTGCTGCTACTATATGCCAGATACATGTATTTTCTATACATATGTGATTGATGACTAGCCTTAATCGAAAGTTCTCTCTCGTGATCGGGAGGGGTAATTAACTATAGGGGCTTGCGCCTATAGGAAACCAGAACTCAGATCATAAAGTCCTCACAAAATGAGGGCGAAATCTCTGGGTAGTGTCTTATCTATAACCCATCTGCCTTCCAAAATATACCTCGGAACTTATTCAGTTAAAACTCCCCTCGCTCAAATAAAAAGAAAAAGCGCGGCGGGGAGGCCGGGGCCGAATTTTCGGAGCCCACATCAAGACAAAGTTCCTTGTTCAGGAGAGATGTTATATAGAAAGTTAATGTACCGAGTAGTCAACTAATGTTTAGCGCTTTAAAAATTGGCTAAGCTTTGGTGTTTTTTTCTTTTTGGTAGTTTTGGGTAGGTGGTGGGCTGTTGCAATTTAGTGCGGTTATTTAGGGAGAAAGGGGCTACGCTTGTGTATTGTTTGGGGTCTATTAACTGGGATAAAATTTTGATTAGGATCAAAATCAATTGAAGATCTGCCAAGATTTTGACCCTAATCAACATTAATGAGGTCATTAGCGTGGTAGCCCCACCCCAAATCAAAATTAGCAGGGATTATTTTTCATCAAAGGTGACATATTTTTGAATTAATTTTTGTTTTTTGGTGATAGGACGATAACATCTATATCTTTTTTGAGTAGAGGAATATCAAATAAAGACATTTTTTAGCTCTAAGATCAAGTTTATCCTAATATTGTTTGTTGATGTGGACATAGATAATGTGCCAAATGTTTTTGGAGAAGTTTTTCAGAGAAATTTATTTGTAGGAAAAAGTTCTATTAAATTATTTAGAGGATTTTTGAAGTAAATCACCATGAAGGTATTCAATTTGTTTTTGGAGAAGTTTTTTAGAGAAATTTATTTGTAGGAAAAAGTTCTATTAAATTATTTAGAGGATTTTTGAAGTAAATCACCATGAAGGTATTCAATTTGTTTTTGGAGAAGTTTTTTAGAGAAATTTATTTGTAGGAAAAAGTTCTATTAAATTATTTAGAGGATTTTTGAAGTAAATCACCATGAAGGTATTCAATTTATTTGGTATGTTGCAGTTAGGACTGTCTCCACAATATATTTTTGCAACTTGATTATTGAAGAAAAATAGTCATGTTGGCTTCCAAAAGATAGCAATTTTTCTTTTTAGTCCCTCTATTTTGTTGGGGAGTGTTAGGCAAAAGGATTGGTAGATGATACTTTTTTTTTTGGAAGAAAGATGATAATATGTAATTAAATTAATTACGAGCACTATGTATCCAAAATATTGCAATGGTAGCAAGAAGTTGTTTTTGTTCATGATAATTTAAACGAAAAGAATTATGCTGATGTTAGATTTTTGTTTGATAAGATATACTCATGTTATTTGAGTATAATTATCTATGAAGCCTGAAGGTGACAAATTCTATAGCTTTAGAAATGTTGAGGATTTTAGAATACCCCTAAATGTCAAAATGAATATTTAGAAAAAAAGAGTAGAGGATTTAGAATCACTTTCAGAAATAACATGTTTGGCAAATTTACTGTTTTTTAAAAAGAAAGAAAAAAAATGGCAATTTCATAAGTCTCACAAATTTTTTTTTTTTTTTTACATTCAAAAAAGAAAAACAAACATATATTATAAGATTTTGAAAGAGAAATGCCATGACCTATCATAATCCCAAATAACTTATGTATTAACTAGTAATTTATTTCTTTAAGAAGATATAACCCTTTATTTTCTCTTGTTTTCCAATCTTGTTCTTGTAGTGAGGCTCTAAAATACAAAATAATAAGCCAAAAAAAAACATTATAGTTTTGATTTTTAGTGATTTTATTAATTGATAAAAAAATTATTACAATATGCGGAATATGCAGTACATTATGGAGTATAAATGTGGAGGAAATTGAAATATTTTTTTGACCGGCAACAATTGTTACAGAACTATCAATCTTTTTTAATTTTCTATTGCTTGGTTAGGGTTTGTAGATTGAAAAAAATTTAAAATATTAGTTATGTGATCAATAGCTCTTGAATTTAGGATCTAGTGTGAGAAGAATTATTCAAGACATTAAAAATATAAGAGTTAGATGTCATACCATATTGAGTTATAGTATAATTTGGATGATTTTTTCAGAGAGTTAAGAAAGTTACAGAGTTTGTCAATTTCTTCTAGATTAAACCCTTTTAATTCCATAAGATAGATATGCCTATTTTTATGTCCTTTCTTTTTACAGTTGCTCACCATACATTGCCGAAGAAAGCTTTTATCCTTCATTATGAGAAGAGTTTTGTACCAGTAAGTCTTATATTGTAGTTCAATGGTTGTCATGTCAAATCTTGGAGATCGAAGTGTCTTGCATTATTGTCTTACTTCCTTGTTCAGCTTGTATAAGAAAAAAAAAATCTCATTTAGTGATGGTAGATTTTCTCTGTTTAAAATTTGGACATTAATTTAGTTGAAGTTATTATGGGGTCCTAAATATAAACATCCATTCTCTTTCTACAAATTACTTTAGAATTTTTGCACCATCACAGTATGTCATCTTGAGATCTTGACAATATACCAATTTAAGCACTAAATTTTCATTGCATTAAAATATTCAATAGCATAAATGTTACCTTGCTTGGTTGTTGAAATTTCAATTTTGATCTTGTAGATGACTGCAACATTATATACTTTTGAGTTCGTTTGTTTGATAACATTCTAAACTTTTTTTTTTTTTTATAGAGAGAGGAATGCATATATCCAATTGATTTCAAACATCATAATATTTCATAATCATTTCATGATCATAGAATCCACTCTATCCCAAAGTATAAACTTTTAGTCCGTTGGCTGAAAGATAATCCATATGGTGATGGATAATTCCCTTTTCTTTAGAAAGATTTTTATAATTTGGTACCACTTTAGACAATTTCTCCTGTTCAAAATGTGTAAATATATATAAAGTTTGTTAGAAATCTTACAATAGAAATAAATCAATATTATTCATAAAAAAAGGAAAAAAAAAATCTCTGAAGGGTTGGCAGCTAATAGAGATAGAGAAAGAGGAGGCACGTAAATTACAATCTAATGGTCATAAGAGGATTGATCCAATGATTACGTTATCCTTATATTTAAGGATCCTATAAAGATTGGTTAATTTATGAGTCATCAATCCCTATGTGGTAGGACTGAAGTCTATTTAGACGGTCAGTTGTGATTTGGGCTCCACGATCATTCAACATTTTGTATTGATCAGTTGCTGTATAATTGTATTTAAGAAATTCTATGCCATAATTACTATGCAAAGAATACTACATTGTTCTCGTTCTTCATACTTTTTTTTTTGGGTAAAGATACTATATGAATATTATAGATAATTTGGTTCTTTATTTCAGGAGAGGACTTGCAATGATGAGAAGGTCTGCAAGATGTGAGCTACATGTCATATCCACCTGAACATACATTATGGCGTAAAAAAGGTACATGAATATATATATATATATATATATGAATTGTTATAATTAGAAGAATGTAGGGCAATATCTCATTATCCTATGGACAAGTGCCTGTAGCTGCCCTTGTTATCGTAGAATAAATTAATCTATGTAATATTGAAGGCATTTAATTTTAATTATGGATCTATTGTGATTTTTGTAGAGATTTATTTATGCTGAAATTGCATTTGACTTATGTTTGCACTGGAGAATGGAAACAATAATAAACAGCAACAAGAAAGACATGCCAAAAAAAGTTATTCTTACAAAAACTAAAGTTCAACCGCATGCTAGATATAGTAAGTTTATATATTACTAAATTCTTTATTATTATTTTGAACTTTGAAGATTAAAAAGATGTCATACGAGTGGAGGAGTGTGTTTGTGTCTATTTTTAAGAATAAAGGTGATGCACAAGAGTGTGTGAATTATAGAGGAATTAAGTTAATGTGTCATACATTACAATTATGGGGGAGACTAATTGAGCATAGGTTACGATGTAAAACTAAGGTTCATGCTAGGTAGGTCTATATGGAAGCTATACATTTGTTGAGAGGTTTGATGGAGAATTATACAAAGACAAAGGAGAATCTACATATGATATTTATTGAATTAGAGAAAATATATGATATAATTTCAAGAGAAGTGCTACGGAGAAGCTCTGGAAAAGAAAATAGTTAAAAATGATTATATTCAAGTTATTAAGGATATATATGTAAGAACTGACACTTGTGTTCAAATAAATGGTGGTTTAGCCAAGTATTTTTCTATTTCAATTGGACCACATCAAGGATCAACTTTAAGCTCATATCTTTCTGTTTTAGTCATGGATGTTCTTACTAGACATTTACAAGAGGATGTACTCTGGTGTATGTTTTTTGTTGATGATATTATTCTTGTTGATAAGACTAAAGAGAGAGTAGTAAGAAAATTTGAATTATAGAGGTCAACCTTAGAGTCTAAATGTTTTCGTTTTAGATCTAAAATTGAATACTTTGAGTGTAATTTTCGTAGTAATAGATCTAATGATGGGATTGTGACTTTGGGTGATTAAGTCGTTAAAAAGAGTGCATGTTTTATATATCTCAGGTCTATTGTTCAAAGCAATGGTGAAATAGATGGAGATATTATTAGTATAATTCAAATTAGATGGTTGAAGTGGAGGAATGCATCGGGCTTAGTGTGTAATTGAAAAGTGGCTCTCAAGCTGAAGGGAAAATTTTATAAGATGATGGTAAGACCTGTAATGCTTTATGGCCTATAATATTGGTCATTAAAAGAGAAGCATAAATTAAGTATTTGTTGTAGAGATAAAGATGCTTAGGTGGATGGGTAGTTTTACTACACTTAGAGAGAGAATGTGAAATGAGTATATATCTGAAAAGATTGGACTAACTCCAATGGAAGATAAGATTAGAAAGAGCGCCTTAAATGATTTGGTCACATCAAGCGTCGAACTTCCAATGACCAAATTAGGAGAGTAGATGTACTAGATCCGGCCTATGTTAATAAAGGTAGAGATAAACCTAAAAAGACTTAATTAGAAAGCATTAAAAGTGACATTTGTTTATTAGATTTAAATGAGAATTTACCTCTTAATTGGATGCAATGGAGAAAAAAGATTCATGTAGCCCCCACATAGTGGAATAAATGCTTCATGTTATAATTGTTGTTGTGAATAATAATACTTTATAATTTTGTATTTCTTTTTAACACTTAAATGATAATATATGCTTTACCGAGCCAATGCTTATCTACCTGCAGGCAGTTGGAAAATATGTTTAAAAAAAGTCTGATTTTATTAAAGTCATCATTTGGTTTGGTGTAATTAAAGGCCAACATTGATTTCAAATTGCGTCAAATAGAATTATTTGATTTTCAGTCATATAAATGAGTGACATTTGAAAATCAAAATTGAAACTGATTCTATGACTTAAAGATTAATGCACTTTAGTTTCAAATGGTAAAATTGTGATATATATATATATATATATATTTGCATTATAGTTCTCAGAACCAGATATCAGATGGACCCTGAGTAGACTAATATTTATTACAAGGCCATGGATTGTTACACCAAGAAAATTCATATTAGACAAAGAGCATAGTACAATTAAATCTCTTTTCCAACTACACACTGGCCAGTAATGGCCAGTCACTGGAAACTAACCTCCAGCATTACTTTCTGCTGTAACCAGTTGGACAATTGCTTGAGAGTTGCTCTTATTTCCTTTAGAATATCACTCAATCAATATAAAGCCGGAAAGAACAAAAACATAACCATTTGCAGGTGCTCATCTGTATATGGCTATTCGCTATGTTTGAAGCCCTAGAAATCTTCTCAAGGAACACCTTTACCAAGCTTATTTCCTTGGTGACATGAACAGCATTCGATCTTGCTTTCGACTTGCACATCTATGTAATGGAGAAAACTTACCAACTCCGTTAGCCAGGCGAATTTCTGAATTGATGCCAAGTATTAGCAAGTTTCTAAATTTAGTTCAAGTAATGGAAATTATTTTAACATGTTGAATATATTACCTCTTTGCCTTTCAAGCTCTTGGTCCAACTCTTCTTTCCACTTTTTGCGCCTGTCAATAAAATACACATAAAATTTTGAAGTTAGCCTTCAAAAGTAGAAGGATGCTTAGGTTCTTAGAAAAAGATATCAAATATATCATCATCAGAAAGGTGCAGCTTGCATAAGACTTCAACATTTTTATCTGCTTATGTCATCAACTGAAAGAGTGTTCAAATAAAGTAGCAACAAATGAAACATTTAATGGTGAACCTTGGGCTGTTAGCTTCTGGCTGAGAATCCTGAAGAGGCCCTCCCCGCTCGTTGAGTTGAGCTGAAGGAATTTCTCGAAGAACAGGATTGCTCTCTAAGCCAGTATTTAGAACAGTTGGGCTCCCAACAGTGGCAATATCAGCACAAAAGGTTGATTGATCACTAGTAATCTTGTTAGAAAATGGTTTTGAATTTTTAGAAGGTACTTCTGCTTCGCCTTCACCATATTCATCTCCAACTTTCCTATCAAATGCCTCAGGAATGGCGCCTAAGCTGTTGAAGAACTCCTCATATAGTGGTGTCTGTAACTTCTTCAAATCAAGCGCCTGGAAGCAAAATGACATGGGCAATATTTTGTATGAAACCATCAGCAATTTCAAGTAATTTTACATTCCTCGCCATTTAATTTTTGTTGGTTCGGTAGATAAATAAATAAAACATATCATAATAGATTAACATTTCATACCTTTTCATCTAGGAAAGCTCTGATTTTCCCTTCTGTGACTTCATAATCATCTTCCTCGCATGTAGGCTCGCATGGGAATGTGAATTTATTCTCCCCATTCGATGATTCACCCAAGTTATCAAAGTATGTTTTTACATGCTCTGGATTTGCATCAAATTTGGATGGCCATTCATCAAATGGCTCTGACATGGGATTAAAACTCTAGACTCAAAAAAAAAAAAAAGGTCACCATTAGAGTTTTTAATTTATGAAGTCTAATTTTTGCCCTAAAACTAATAGATCCCCATTATATTAATGCTAAGAATCCAATGTTTGCAATTTTTTTAACTAAGGATGTTTTAGAATTTTCACTGTATTTTTTGTTTGTCTTGTTTTTTTTATGGGGCTATAAAAACTCCACAACCAACAATCAAATCATAATAAAATCTGCAGTGGTGATAATAAGATGAAGTCATTAGTTTGGTTAATTAATATAAAATTCATGAAGTGTTATATGTGTTTATGTTTGTTCCATTTTAATTGTTTTCAATGATTTGAATTAGATCTCATCTAATTCCCCAACAATAACAACCTGAAGACTGGCTTCACACTAACTTTATGTATTATGTCATATGATGCTATATTTATAAATAAGGAATAAGATCTTACGGATCCAACCCCTGGAAATGCATCCTTGTCAAAAATTTGGCACATATCATCATCACTGGAATTTGTGTCCCAAATAGGTCTGAGGTTAGAAAGCTGATCAGTGTAGCCCCCACTGTGCTCAACATCTCTGAAACTCCTGCAAAAGTTAACTTACATTTGTACTGAAGGAGAGATCTATCTAATGGTTGCATCCAGTATATTGAATATATGATGTTGTTTTAAGAAAATTGATGCTGCTAGAATAACTTACCGATCTTTCATGTAAGATTTGGTATCTGGAACTACAGCTTTCGATTCCTGATACAGACAGCATTATGAGAGGAATAAATATGACATATGACATATTGGACGAGCAACTTGAGGATGGATATATGCATATATGGGAATACTTTCTTGGGAAAGAGGCTTACCGTTGCTGTGGAGTGATGAACTAACTGTGAATCTTCAAAATCTGCTGTAACAAAAGGATGCTACACAAAGTTTTGAAATATATTCAGATTAAACTTTCCTGTTCATGGCAGTAAATAAACATTGGCTTTACTAGACAATTATCTCAACCCAACCTGAAGTAAATCTGATGCAGGTGGCCTCAACTTTGGTTCCCTGCATGCACATTCAATAATTAGAGCCATGATTGCAAGCATAAGAGATACAAAATGTGAGGTAGGTTTTAATTGCGTAGATGTTTTTGATGAGAAATGACTCTAGACCTTGAGAACGAAGAGAGAGCAGAAAACCTAGGCAAATAGTGTTGTTATGAATTTAGATGACAGAGGGAAAAAAATGATCCATGTCATGATTGAAAGAAAATCAATCAAAACTTATTATTGAACTTGAACACATTTATAAGGTAATTTATTCTTGGACACCAATGTGTAGAGATTGGATTTAGTCCCACATAAAATAGTTGAAAATATATTTTAGTTTAGAAATATTGATTAATCCTCACCCATAAGTATTTTGTTTTTGGATTGAAAATATGTTTGATCACTGGTATATATGACTCGACTTCCTTGTTTGGTTTGCACCATAACAAGTGGAGAGTTGATAGTTAGATTAGGATCAAATGGTTTGAATGTATAGTAAATTTTTTACGACCTTCTATGATGGTTGAGTAAAGTTTAAAGGCGGCCGACTCTTAATAATGTTGAGTACACTCTTGGTGCATGATACTCGATGATATTGAAAACTTTCATTTGAAGTCTAGTAATGATTAATGTGAAAAGCCCTCACATGAGGGAGAGAATGTCATCGCATGTGATATTGGGTTTAGTCTTACATCGAATAATTGAAAAATTGTTTGTGTAAAAATAACAATTAGAAAGCTTTAAGGCTTTTGCATGTTACTTAACACAATATCAGAAAAGGAAGAAATCCATTAATCAAAGTCAGAGGAATATACGGCATTTTGCAAGAAAATATAAAAATTGGAAAATTTTATTCTTTCTCAAAAATTAAAAGACAAAAGGCGATGGTCCCAAGGTCATGAATTCGAACTCTGGATTTCCACAACACATTTTCCATTTGAAATTGGGCAACAAGCACTCCATATAGGTGTCACGTGGGAGTATAAGTCCAAAGGAAAACTAAACATGAACGTGAAGTTACTCTAATCTGAAGTAAGACCTTTAATGCACATATTAGACAATTTAAACCATATTATAATAGCAATTAAATATATGACAAGTACAGCAAAAAGCATTAGACTAAGGATAGTTATGCATTGTGGTACACCTTCAAAATGTTAGTATGTGTGTTTACTGAGCGGCATCAAGCTCTAAAGCTGCCCATACGCAGAAGTTTTATCAGCTTTGTTACCATAGTCAAAATCATGCACAAGGACAATGAACATACACCAAAACCGGTACAATTAAAAGTAAAATTTTTAACATGCACTTAATATAACAATGTAAGGACTATTACAAGTACAGTAAATAATGTTAAAAAGCAGTGGCATTTTTAGCCTCATAAAGCATATGTACACAACTTCATAAAGCTCTATATCCTCCTATATGTTATTCCCAACACCATATTATATAAGTTTCTATTTATTGCAATCTAACCCGTCTCATATTGAACATCATGATTTTATTTTATTTTTTTGTATAACTTCTCAAGTGATCATCCATTCTAAAAATGCTCCATGACGAGCACCTTTATTGTAGAGTTTCCAAGAGAAATCCATCCATCACACTAAATGATGTCTTGCATACTGTGGCCTAACTCCACATATAGTAGGGTTGCCCCTATCTGATGTAGGTTTAATTCATTCATTTCTTCTTCTCTTAAAATTTGACAATACCTTGCATAATATGATTTGGAATGCCACAATTGGGTATCAGAGTTTGACCTCCTCTAATATGATATGTGATTTAGAGATGTATCAAATGAAAGTGGGTGAGCCTATAACATCCCAAATTTGAAAAGGGTACTCAAATGAGGTAAGTGATCGTCAGAGTTAAGAGCGAGATAAGGAACGGCTCCTTGCACACTTCTACGATATAAGGGGAATATGAATGACTTCAAATGTGATATTGAAAGAGAACAAAAGGATACAAGGCATTGCACAGTAAACTTAGTCCTTATCATTTCAAGTTGAAGAGATAGTAGATATTTGATGTTGGTTAGGATAGTACCAGATAGATGTAATTCAAAGAGTAGTAAGCTCTAACACATCTCAAACTAGAATTTGCTGAGTTGCCAACATTATCTTCCAAAAACTGCCTAAATTGCAACTAGTTTAGCAAACACTAAAATTCATGAAGTTCTCCTATGTTATGCTAGGAACAAACTGCATGTGGTCCCATCCCATGTCTTGCTATGACAATAAGTGTTTAAATACAATTGGTGATTTCTTTTTTTATATATTTATCTTAACACACAGATGTACCTAGCAATCCAACATGACCTTGTCACATTGATGCGAATAAGACACGTGATGCAAATAAGATCTTCATAATAGGCTTCTTAGCAACTTCGATGGTATGATAAGCAGCTGCTTAAAGATGCTTAAAGATGAGGGGACATTATAGAGCCTATTGACTTAATGGATGCATTAGCATAAAACTAAGTCTGTCTGAAATCCAGAAAACGATGTAACATATAGAATAAATATTTGAAAGCAAGCAAAAACTTGTAACTTGCTATAAATTTGTTGGTCAAAACTAGTTCAAAATAATACTATGGAAATAAATAAAATTTGCATGCATACTTGTGCAAACATTTCAAGAGAAAATGCTTGGCTTCTGATGAAAGGTGCTCTGGAATGGGAGGATGTGACTTTGTAGTCCCAATGTGAAATAAAGCTGCAACCTGGAGATTTTTTAACTTAATAAATCACCAAATGAAATATCAAGGCATAGGATGAATGCAACATAAATCATAAATAAGGAGAAAGCAATGGTTATGGTACTAATTTACCTCTTGATATTGCTGACTCCATGGAGGTTTTCCAGTAGCCATCTCAATAACAGTACAACCAACACTCCATATGTCCGCAGAGCTAAGATTTATTTTTTAGCAAACATTTAAATATTTAGAGGTTAGCATCAAACTAAAGTTATCATATGAAATGAAAATATTAGAAATTATCTACAGTTTTAAATATTTTCAACGATGAGTAATCAACCATAAAAATAGCCTAAATTGGAAGTTTATTTCATGTGAAGAATATAAAGGTGCGAAGTTTAAACATCTATCATAAATTACCTGACAATTATTATCTAGCCACTATATTTGGCATGCATTCATGTATCAATAATGTAAATGAGGTGAACTACTCATTGACTCCATCTATTTTGATCACCCCTAGTATATATAATACTTATATTAGTAAAACATGCATGCTATGCAAATCCTTATACAAATTTCATCCTCAAACGCATATCAATTAAAGGCATGTTCAGTTTGTGATCATTGAATAAGGATAATATTTCTCTCCAATGTCAATTTACATTGACAAGCATACGTAAGATTCTAATGTAAACATGCATGATAAGTTTATTTTCAAGTCAGTCGATAATAGCAAATAGAACAAGTTTAAGATAAAAGAGGCACATCATATTAACAATCAATTACATGAAAATTATACTTTCTTAATCATGTGAAAGAAAAAGAGCATGCATAAGACTTTTATATCCTTACAAGGTATGCCCTGTTTGAAGAATTACTTCTGGAGCCATCCAGTAAGGTGTGCCTTTCATTGACTTCGCTGCTGTCATTGTAGCCTAAAGAAAAGTTCACATTACAAATCAATCAAATAATAATGATAATTTGAAAAAACAAAAGATAATAAATGTATAAATCAAAGGTAAATTTCTTATTTTCTAGTGAGACAGTAACCTCTAACAGAATAAATACCCTTCAAAGGTTCTACCAACAATGACAAACAGCAATGGCCAAGAGCACAAATTACCAGTTATATTTCCCCCCAAAAAAATTACAAGCTATATCAATCGACCAGAATATGACATCGTTGAGAAGTTGCTTAAAAGTTATTATTTAACTAACTTTTAATATAATTGTAGCATTGTCAAATCAGATTTAAGCATTAGATTTACAAAAGAGAAGCAAAACAAAGGAATATAAGTCCATAGGAAGACGGAGGAGGCCAGAGTTTTCTCTAGCATTATTTTACCAGCTTGGCCACTTGTTTAGATGCGCCAAAATCTGCAAGTTTGATGCATCCTTTATTATCAACAAGAATATTTGCACCCTGAATTTGATAAAAAACTCATTATTTAAACATGTAAAATGAAATCAAAGATATAATCTAAGAAGACCATGTAAATAGACCTTTATATCTCTATGAATAATTCCATTCTTATGAAGATATTCCAGTCCCTGCAATAGCTGCTTGGTATACATTTTTATAACCTGCTTAAAACATAAGAGGTTCCAAACAGGATTAACAATTAGTTATCACTTATCAGTTATGTAAACCCTAAACATACAACTATGGCACATACAGCTTCAGGGAATGACCCAAATTTTCCCAGCAGCGATGAAATGGAACCGCCCGGTACAAACTCCAATAATATATTTAAGGTTTCTTCTTCCCTCACAGTTCCCAAATATCTCTGATCGAAATACACCAAATAAGAAATGTAATTTTGACTTTAAGTACAGGAAAAAGGACCAAGTAATTCAAAACAAAGATAAGAAGGAGAGAACTTACGACAATATTCCGATGGGATAGGTTCTTGAGAAGCTTCACTTCTTCTTCAAGTTCCCTTATATGAGCCTGCAAACATAAGGAAAGATGTTGAGGCGGAAGACGAGCTGAAAGGCAGTTCAGGAAAGACGAAAACCAGGGTTATATTTCATTTTTGAAGAAAATGGAAGGAAAGAATCTAACTTGGGCCTTTTCCTTGGAGGCATTGCTATTCCCGAGCAAAACCTGCAAAAATCGAAAACGAAGCAGCGGTCACCTTAGCCGTAGAAATCATCGTTATCAAAATTAAAAGAAGCACTGGAGATAAAAGAGTAGACCTGCTTTACAGCGAGAAGCTCCCCAGAATCTAGATTCATCCCCATGTAGACATGGCCAAAGGCGCCGCAGCCAATTAGCTCGCCCTTTCTCCACCGGATCGGAGAGGCATCATCGTTGGTCTCCTTCGGAGAAAGACCATTGGGGGATGCAGAGAGTTTGGGTGATAAACCTAACCCTAGGCCCAACCCCACCTTCGATTTCCTCAAACGCGATCCGATCCTTTCCACAATGCGGCTGCCAGGGCCGCCGCCGCCGCCATCGTTTCCTGCGGGATTCGATCGGAGAGAGAAAGAACGCCGAACCGATCCGAATAGATCTTGCATCTTCTTTCCTCCTTCTGCGTTGATTACTTGGCTTTCCACGACTGAGAGAGAGATAGAGAGACAGAGAGTTTTTTTTTTTTTCTCGGCTGAACGGACAGTGTTGGATTCTGCTTCGCTTCTCATTTTCAAAATTTCTCGTGGTGTGACCGAAGTGCCCATTGGAGCCGTTACGTTTGGAAGTGCCGAAGATGCCGGAAAATGCTTTTTTTTTTTACTTGTTGAAAAGCTTTTTTAATGAATAATATATTTTCTTATTTAAAATTTGAATTAAAAAAAAAATTATAAAACTTAGGATCGGATAGGAATGGCTGCAGTTTTTTTTTATAAAAGTGATTGTAAGGCTATTTGGAGAAAGTAGTTTTTTTTTTTTTAGTTGTAGTAAATTTTTAATACACAAAATTATTTAAAGCAATAAAAAATATTGGTCAAATAAAATAGTAGTTGAGGTTTGAAAAATAAAATAATAAAAAATCATCTCAAATACAATGTGCTCGAAAGAGGTTAGGCTCTATAGATTCTTTGTATGAATTGATTTACAAAAAAATATAATTACACCAATTATCCTTGCTATAGAGGTGAAATATATATATATATTATAAGAAGAATCTTAGCGATAGTTTTGACACCAATAATAAGATTGTGTGATATTTATCCTCGATTGATAAATCCTTATTTATAAGTGTGGATTAGCAAAAAAATTTAATTAAAATATGCTAAGTTTTCGATGGTTATTATCTTTAAAGTATAATAAGACTTCTTTACATTTAATTATTATTATTCATATGATAATAATCAAATATAATTTTCAGTAATTATATGACATCAAATATTAGTCATGAAAATAATCATATGCTGCCTGAAAATAATGAAATTCAAGAAATTAAAGATCTAAAAGATAAATATATAATTTAAAATTTCATGTATTTTTGTAAAAGATAAAAATATTAAAGTCATTATGGATCTTCATGTCAATTCTATGACTTCAAAAGAGCTAGTCTGTGGATTTGCAGGGCTTCCCATGGGGGCTGGCAGGCTTTAGGCTTTTGTTTGTTTGAGCGTTTATTTTGCTTTTTTCATTTCCGGAAACAGAGGATTTTTTTTTTTTTTTGGTTCGTCAAATCACATTCCTGATAACTCCTTTTTTTTTTCATTTTTCTGCAGTTTTGAGAAAGTTTTTTATATATGTTAGAAAACTTCATTTTCTGAACTAATGTTTTTCAAAACTGTCTTTTACAAAAGCACCAAAAAAACAAACGAAGCTTTAAAAGGGAGGCCCAAAACACTGCCTATTTAAACCCATATTTTGTGCCCTATTACACCTAATCGTATTTACCCATTTAGGTTTCCTAAGAGGCTGTTTGGCAACAAGTGGTATTTAATTTTAGTGGAATTTAGTAAATCTTATAAATTTGAATTTAGTAAATCCCAAATATGTTAAATCCTCAAAATGTTTGGTATGTCAAATGTTAAATCATATTAAATCTTGAGAAACTATTTATTAATATATTTCATGATTTATGGCAATTAGGGATATAAATGTGAAGATAATAATTATAAATTAAAAAATAATGTGTTATGAATTTAATAACATGTTAAGTGCAAATTACTCATTAATTATTATTTACACTATTAATTATATATTTTATAATATATATTTAAAATTATATTAATTAAGCTAATTATATTAATATTTGATTACTTATTATACAATTAATTTAAATTAGATAATTAATTTATGCACTAATTATACAATTAATTATTTAATTCATTTACTCAATTATTATTAATTTAAATTATATTGATATGCGCCAGCAGACGCGACGCGACGCTCGATGCGACGCGCGGTCAGACCCGGTCCGCTCGGACTCCGCGCGGGCAGCTTCGGTCAGCTCCGGTCAGGGCGGGCAGCGGGTCATTCCGGGTCATTTTCGGGTTTCCGGGTCAACCCGAACCCGACCCGGTTTTTCAAACGGGTCAAAAACTCCAACCCGAACCCGACCCGGTTCGGGTTCGGGTTGACCCGAACCCGAAATTTTCGGGTCGGGTCCGAATCGGGTTGTCGTGTCGTGTCAAATATTGACAGCCCTACCTTTCATCTTCTCTTTTGGTCTTTGCTGTTCAGCTTCGTTGCTTTGCAGGTGTATAGATTGCACGCGTCGCTTCTTCGGCTCCTTCGTGGCTGTTCGACTTGGATCCTTCGACGACTTCCCTTTCCTGTCGGATCGGAAGTTACAACATTTTGATCGGAAGCAAGAACGGGACCTTGCTGGCTGTGAAGGTAACTTCTCCCTTTCGCGCGCTTCTTCGGCTTAATCTCGTTAAATCCGCCAAACCGACGGATTTAGTAAATCCAGGATTTAAGCCGTAAATCCGGGATTTAACGCGCGCACAAAAACCATTTGGCTGGATTTAGCGTAAATCCGAATTAAATCCGATACCAAACAGCCCCTAAGCTCTATTACGCTCTGCGAAGCCCGGCGCCGAGTACGATCGACCTGAGCTAGAAACTAGCAGATGAACGCAACGATGAAGGGAGTCGGCGATGTTGCCTACAAGGCATTCACCGCCGGTCTTGGCGCCGCCACCATTTACCTCGCTGTCACTTTTTCCATCAACGTCTACCGTGGACTCTCTTGGCACACTTCACAATCCGTGAGATTTTCCGAATCCTGTTCTTCATTTCTTTATTTGAGGCTTGTTTCAACCGTTAATTCTATTTGTTTTTTAAACGTAATTTGGTGGTGATATAACCCTAAATGTTTAGCGCGGTTAAATGTTGGTATGCTTGTTGCAGGCGGTTTTAGCTGTTCTAGATTCCTTTTTTTTTCAGTTCAGGTTTTAGTTGGCTAAGCTAAGCCCTGTTTTCCCTCACTTAGTGGATAAGATAGGATATGCGAAATGGACACCCAGCCCTTCTTAAGATTGCTTTGCTTAGCTTCCCTCTCCTTCGTCCACAGTTAAATTCACCGGCGTGCATTAACTTACATTTTTAATGAACCAAATGGCTTAACCCAACTCACAACTTTAAGCTTCAAAAACTTACAACTTATGTTTGCTTATCTCATTATTACTTGGCTTACATAAATAGACAACCAAACAGGCCTATTATTATATGAGGCGAATCATGTTATTTAGGGAATCTGTAGGAAAGCAAGGAGATATTTGTAATAAGAGGAAAGGGAATATGCTACAATGTATGTCCGAGAAGTAGGCTAAAAATATGGTAAAAGAATGAGCACTCATTAACTTTCATTGGTGCCCGTGCATGTGGCGAATGAGAGTTGCAAATAGGAGAGAACAGAAAGGTGTTAAGTAAAAATTATATTTTTTTCTTATGATTGGGAGTGTCTAGTGAATACAAAGAATGAAAGTAGAGGATAGTGAATCTGCTATGGTTTCTCTCTCAATTTAAGTGAAAATAGGAAGAAGGGAGATGCATTTACACAATCTAATGACACCCAAACAGTCTTCATTACTCCCTACAACAACAACAACAACAACAACATCAAGCCTTTATCCCACTACGTGGGGTCGGCTACATGAATCCTTTTTCTCCATTGTATCCAATTAAAAGTCAAATTCTCATTTAAATCTAATAAAGAAAGGTCATTCCTAATATTTTCTAACCAAGTCTTTTTAGGTCTACCCCTACCTTTCTTAACATAAGTCAAATCTAATAACTCTACTCTCCTAACCGGGTCATCGGAAGGCCGCCGTTTTATGTGACCAAACCATCTAAGGCGACTCTCTCTAATCTTATCTTCTACTGGAGCTACTCCAACCTTTTCACGTATATGATCATTTCGTATCCTATCTCTAAGGGTAAAGCCACTCATCCACATGAGCATCCTCATCTCTGCCACACTTAACTTAGTATTATGCTTCTCTTTTAATGGCCAACATTCGGCACCATAAAGCATTGCAGGCCTCACTACCATCTTATAGAATTTTCCCTTAAGTTTGAGGGGTACATTTCTATCACATAACAAGCCCGATGCATTCCGCCACTTCAACCATCCAACTTGAATTATGCTGATAATATCCCCATCTATTTCACCATCACTCTGAACAATAGATCCAAGATATCTAAAACATGTACTCTTATTAATGACTTGATCGCCCAAAGTCACAATCCCCTCACTAGGACTATTACTGCTAAAATTACACTCCATATATTCCGTTTTAGATCTACTCAAGCGAAAACCTTTAGACTCTAAGGTTGACCTCCATAATTCAAGTTTACCTTCAACTCCCTCTCTAGTCTTATCAACAAGAAGAATATCATCAGCAAAAAGCATACACCAAGGTACATCATCTTGCAAATGTCTAGTGAGAACATCCAAGACTAAAGCAAAAAGATATGGGCTTAAGGCTGATCCTTGATGTAACCCAACCGAAATAGGGAAATACTTGGTCAATCCACCTTGTGTTTGATTTTGAGAAACATTAGTATCACGTCGCAACCTATGCTCCATAACTCGCTCCCATAGTTTTAAAGTATGACACATTAACTTAATACCTCTATAATTCGTGCAATCCTGTGCATCGCCTTTATTCTTAAAAATAGGAATTAACACACTCATTCTCCACTCATCTGGCATCTTCTTAGTCTTCAAAATAGTATTAAAAAGTTTAGTAAGCCATGAAATTCCTTCATCTCCTAAGCATTTCCACACCTCTATTGGAATATCATCAGGTCCAACAGCTTTTCCACCCTTCATTTTCTTTAAAGCCTCTCTAACTTCAGTTTTACTAATACGCCGATAAAAGCATAAATCTTTATTTTCATTTAGGGTGTTAAGGTCACTATAGTCAATCTTATTTTCACAATCTTCATTAAAAAGTTTAGCAAAATATCTCATCCATCTTTGTTGAATATCATCTTCTAAGAAAAGTATTTTTTGATCTTCATCTTTAATACACTTCACTTGAACTAAATCCTTACTACTCCTATCTCTTTGTTTGGCTAACTTATACATATATCTTTCTCCCTCTTTAGTATCTAATCTATAATATAAATCACTAAAAGCTAATGTCTTTGCATCGCAAATTGCTTTCTTAGCATCCTTACGAGACACTTTATATATTTCCCAATTATCATAATTTTTAAAATTAAACCATTTTTTATAACAAAGCTTCTTATTTTTAATCTTTTCTTGCACATTTGGATTCCACCACCAACTAATTTTACTATTATGAGCTTTTCCCTTTGATACTCCAAGGATATCTTTTGCAATATTCTTAATATCACTAGCCACTTTTTCCCACATAATATTAGCATCCTCATGCACAGACAAAATCTTAAGATCTAAAATCTTATTTCTAAAAATATTTTTATTAATATTCTTTAAATGCCTCCATCTAATCCTAGAAAATCGTTTTACTTTATTTTTTATTTTATGCCCCTTTATCTTAAAGTCCAAAACTAATAATCGATGTTGTGTACATAAATTTTCACTCGGAATAAATTAACAATCTTTGCAATCTAAACGATTTAGTTTTCTAATAAGAAAATAGTTAATTTGTGTTGTACTATATCCATTTTTATAAGTGATGAGATGCTCATTTCTTTTCTTAAATAAGGTATTAGCAATTGAAAAATTATAAGCTAAACAAAAATCCAATATGGTCTTGCCTAAAGAAAATAGTCTTCATTACTCCCTATGTAATGAAAAATATAGCTAAAAAATTATTGAAGCAAGCATTCGTTGAAACTCATATCTCGATCACCGACTGCTCTAATCATCATGAAAGTCTTGATTGCAAAAAGGGCATCTCCCTCTCCAAGACCTTTTGAGATGCTCCTTTCAATATCGGTGCCCTTTATTGCCTTTATCTCCATCATTGTTATATTTTTCTCCAATATTTTTATGTTCTAATGTCATTGCCAAGATGTACAAAGTTTAAGATGTGCGACCTTGAAAACTATCATCCCTCTAGCAATCATATATTTATCCACCACTTTCCATGTGACTCCCCTTTTTCTTGAGAATTTGTCTTCTCTTTCTTTGAGTTGTGTCAGTTGGATGTGATGGTGCATATATTATTGTTTATGATTGTGAGGAGTGATAGACATATGCGATATGGATGATAAATATATTGGATGGGACGCTCTTACGAGAGTCACTGGCAATAAGAACAAAATTATTGATAAAGTCTAAGCTATCTTGGCATATTAGTTGCAATATTTAAACCTGCTACTGCACTTTGCACAGTCATGCTTGAAGGATTTGACTGTATACAGCTTTCAGCTTTTTTTTTTTTTTGCTAGCTTTTGCAATGTGCTTGATCTTATGTTCCAATAAGTTCTTGCATCTCATAATGCATAAGCCAAACTCTGAATGTTATTGCATAAGGCCGAAATGAAACGTTAGAACGGTTAGAAACGTTTTATTAATTATAAGAGGGAAGTGGTATATCTAATAGAAAATTCATAGTGGTTATTTAAAATAATTTGTAAAGGAACTGTTTAACACCTCAAGAAACACTCAGCATGAATGAATTGGGCCAGAAATAGCTAGGATAAGGCTACTAATGATGATGATGATGATATATTCCCTTTGGCATTGTATTTGACAGAGAAATTTATCGTATTTTTGGTCAAGTTTAATTCTATGTCAGAAGATTCAGTAGTGATGGAGGACTCTCTCTGTGTTGTGTAAAAACCAGAGCTGAATCTATTTTTTAGTGGGGGCATTATAGTAAAACTGTGATTTATTATTTTAAACCTCATTTTCTAGATTGCACTTGCTGTAAGTTGGCACAGCATTGATGGCGAGTTGGCAGTGCCCTATGATCTCTCTAACTATTGCAACTATGTGTTTTTTTTTTTCATATACATTCCCAATTCTTTGCCACTTTTTATATTTTGTAAATATTTTAATCCTAAGTCATAAAATCAAGAAGTGCTGAGTGAAACCCAAGTGAATGGGGGTATGTGCCCCTGATTATCGAGAAACTATTTTGAGCGGACACCAGATGGTCCAGAGACCAGCTAAAATGCGTCACGTCATCCAGTACACAACATTATCGAGCAAAAAAGTGAGATTGTGCATTATGGTTGGTCTCAGGACGTCGCCCGGTGTGAGCACAAAATAATTTTCCCCACTTTGAATCCATCCATGGCAGAAATTGAAGTGAGGGAATTGGTCAGAGAATGAAATTATGCTTGAACCTGAGCGGCCAAGGCATTAATTAGCTTATTGCTAATTTGTTGTTAACAATGTCATTCTTTAAGCTTTATTCCATTTCACGTTTTCTCGCATGTTTGATTTATTTAGTAAAAAATTAACTTAAATGTCTTAGAAAATTTGAGAAAGGATATTCTGAAACACTATTTTTGAATCTTATGTGTTGGATATTTTTTTATCTTTATTAATTATATATACTGTTCTTCTCAGAAAATTGAAAAGGATAAATCTCTGGAATGACGCTGGACTGGAGTTTTCTCCTATGAGAGCATGTTCCCCCCCTCTATTCGTCTCTCAATTGTAAGGCTGAAATGTAATTTTCCTCTCGCTTCTCACTTCTGTTATATTTTAAAATAAGATACGAAGACTTTGTTTCTGCTGTTTAAATAGTTCATTTCAGCTCTCTTATAATAGAATTTTTTTCAAATTTTCTAAGGTTCATTTTCCCCTTAATGTTGTATGTTAGTTAGTGATGTTTTTGTGATAAATGTTAGGCCTTAAATTTATGATGATGATAATATTGAATAATAGCCTTTAATTGGCAAGTTAAACAATCATCATCATCATCATCGTCGTCATGAAAATAGCTCAAATAGTTTATATTTTCAATTACATAAATATTTTTTCAGTTACATAAATTTTTTTTTTAGTTTTGTATTGAACAATGCGAGCCTTTTTCATCTTTAACCACCAGTTAGTTTTATTATCAAAATATGTTAAAAATAACGTCGACTTATCATTATTATTCATTTTTTTTTCATTATTATTATTATAAGTCAGATATTTTTATTTTTTAATAATAAAATTATTTGCTTAAATGTTATCTTATTAAATAAATGAATTTAAAAATTTAAAAATAAATAAATGAATTTAAACAACGTATGTTAAAACCTAATTTTCCAGCTTTATAGACGATAGCTTATGTTTCTTTTTTTCTATCGCAAGTCTTGAAGGATTTTGAATGAATCATATACATTTTTATGAATTGGAAGAGAAACTTTTTATCAGAGTTTGAAATTTCTCAACGGTCAATTCATAATATTTAAAAAAAAAAAGCGAGAACATTTATAGGAGAGAAATTCGAAACTAACGTGCGGGCTTAATATTTCATCCATATGAAGATTAATTAACTTATTTCTTCCTCGAATATGGACTATAAAATATCAAGGGATAAATGAAATTTTGGTGATGATATCAAACTGATTCATTTGAGAAGAAATCAATCTACATTCATGAAAGCAATAAACGACAGTCACATAATGCATTCAATGTTCCAAGTTTATTGTCATATTTGTACTTGAAATTTCAAAAAATAATAATAATAATAATGTTGCAAAGTTTTAAGGGAAAAAAAAAAATCAAATTAGAGTCACCAAAATCTCCAAGGATCTTTGTACGGTGGTACATAGCTCTCAGTGGGTGGAAGTAGACGAAAAGAAGCAACTGCTTCCTTCAGGAAAGGTCCCAACTGCATGCAACATATGTAAATTCAAGATAGAAGCGCAGCAAAATAACTAAAGATATATGGCAATATGTTTGCAAAATAACTACACATCTTAAAATAACCTCATTATATTTTTTTCTTTTTTTGATCTCTTTTACTACAAAAAATCAAATAATGACGCCCAACTCTTATAAATAAAATTTAGGTTGATTTGCATATCATATATGCATAAAGTGCCTCTTCATGAAGTATTAATTAAGTTTCACAATTTGGCCATGCGTTAAGAAACTTGTCATCCTCTATCAAACAATAGAAAATAATTCTTAGAATCAAGAAAAAGATTGTGATCTCCATAGAGAAATGAACATCTGAAATATATCATTTAAGAATGATTGTGAATATCCCCTACTTTCCATTCATTTTCATTAAGGAAAATGATTTCATTGCCTTTTGTTCTCCTTTCTTCTAGATATCAATATTTTATTTTAAGGATGTGAAATGACAGGGACAAATAGGTTAACAGATCAGACCAGCGCATATTAGGGTTTGTTTTTACATTGAAAATCATTCATTTTTTGGATAGGAGAAATTTTGGGTAATGATATCTTGATCTAAATTTTATTAGGTTATTTATGAGCGTAAAATAAGAACAGCTAAATGTCATACTCATTACAAAACAGATTGGTCAAGTAGAAAATATCCTGATCCAAATTTGGTTAGGTTATTTATGAGTGTCAAATAAGAATTGTTGATTAACTAAATATTAGACTGGTTCCAACAAAATTAGATTGGATGTCCTGGTCCAAACCCTTCTACAGAGAAAAAACTACAAAATGTGATAGAGAACAAACTGTCAAAATTAAGCAGAACGAAAAGTTAACTACTTACAGATTCCCACTTCTTGCTGAGCGTAGAAGCATTCAACGAGTACAAGTATCCTGACAACAAACATCAATGACTTCAAATATTGCCAATTTCAGTTAAAGCAAAAAAGAATAATTTATCCCGTTGCCAACGGCAAATTATTGGGTCAGGTGACCGAACGCAGAGATAGGTCCGGATATTAATAAAATATTATTTTAAATTTAGCGCAAGTAAAGCGCAGGTAAAGTGCAACTAAAGCGCAGGTAAAGTGCAACTAAAGCGCAGGTAAAGTGCAACTAAAGCGCAGGTAAAGCGCAACTAAAACGCAAGTCAAAAAGCGCAGGTAAAGCGCAAATAAAGCGCAAGTCAAAAAGCGCAACTAAAGCGCAAGATGACGCGGCAAAATTTTATTGGATGTCCGAACTTATTTTTCGCCTCCGGTCACCTGACCCAATAATTTGTCGTTGCCAACAGATCTAATTACTTGATGCATGATTTGAATATTCATTTTTATCTTCAGAAAAAAAATCATTGCAGCGATAATAAGCAGTGAAATGACATCTTTTTTTATGAAGTTATGTCATCAAATTATTATTAAATTTTTCTTCCCCCTCCCTAAATGAGGCAAAGTGCACAAAAAAAACACTTGTATCAAGATCTTCTTATAAAAAAAATGCACCAGGATAGACTCATCATGTAACACTTAGGCTTCCTTTTTATTGTTTTTTAAAATCGAGATTTAGTAAAAAATTAAAACTTTTGTACTAAAATTCTATTTTTTAATAAGCAATAAAAAATTGATCCCAAACAAAGCCTTAGTCACATGGATGTATGTTTCTTTCTAATCAAATGTCTACTATTTTCTTAACCACAGATATGTCTTCTATAAATGTAGTTATCTTCTATTCTTATTAAATGTCTTCTTAATCTCTAACCTCAATTAAGAGAACATGATACATGCCGCAGGATGATCTAATCCTCAAAAATATTTCTATTGATGCAATTTTTTTTCTGAAGTGCAATGTTTCAACTACCAATTTCTCTTTAGAGGTGAAGAAGTTGGTGCATATCTTATTAGCCAGAAAGCATTACTTTGACTAGTTAAGCTCTCAGCCAACACTAAAATTGACATTTACCATCTCGTTCAGCAGTTGAAGCCACACTGTGTCTGTAGAGATTGGAATCTGGCGCCTGAAATGGCAATGAAAAAATCAACCTTAACAAAACGATTTGTATACTTACTCCCAAAAAAAATCGGTTTTGAAATCTCTGGAAGATGTTAATCAATCTCATATTTAAATATTCTAGTATTTAGAAATAGTCTCCCAGGCCGATAAGTGAAATAACTCACTGATTTTGTAGGAGATTTCCGAACCAGATACTCATAGTACCAGTACACATCTCCATCCACCTAAAAACACAGAACAAGTTTCAGTTATTGATTTCTAAAGATTTAGCTAGCATGAACTTGTCTGATTTTACCTAATGCATCACAATAAAATAATGCTAACAAATTTATGAGTTGACCTCACTAGCATGGGCGTCAAGGACAGAACTCTCGGTCATTCTCTGGCCTGTTGAGACAGGCTGCATGGAATAAGCACATTTTCAGCCACTTTTATAGTACAGTGTATATCTATGCATCATGTTCAAAAAGTATGAGCTAAGAAGTATATAAAAAACAAGAAAAAAAACAATAGCATATCATCCAAATAATCTTTTCATGCATTTGTACAAAGACATTCTGCAAACAAACATGATATGGACAGAATAATAGGCAAAAAAGTTAATTGTTCTATTGCATATGTATAATATAAATGGAAATGTTTTATTTGCAAAGAGATATTGCATATGCAAAACTCTTAATCATTATCATTATGAGTAAAAGTTCAAAATAGACCTTTGACTATTTAGTAAATGTCCAATTTGATCCCAGACTTTTATAATGGCCCAATTTAGTCATCTGACTATTAGAAAAAATCTCAATTTGATTTCAAGGCCAAAAGTAATAATTAAAGTTAATCCCAACAGTTAAATGTGAAGTCATTTTGGATAATAGAATGTATGTGATATTATATTATTATTTTAATATATTTTATCATTTTTCATATTAAAATAAATAGAAAATTCATAATGAAAACTAACCACGTTTTTTAAATTATTCATTCTTATTATTTAATTGGTGAACTTTTAAATATAAAAATAATATAATCTTATATGCACCATAATATCCAAAAATGTCCTCACATTTAACTATTAATTTTAACTATTACTTTTAGCTTGTGGACAAAATTGGGACATTTTCTAATAGTTAGAGGACTAGATTGGATCATCATGAAAGCCTAGGATTAAATTAGACATTTAGTAATAGTCAGGGGACTATTTTGGGTTTTCACTCTTATTATTAGTCTTATCTCAATTACTAAGGGTCAGTTTTATGAATCTACATTCTTGTTTAGTATTGTGTGAGATGTAAACATATATACATTAAGTCAACCCTTTAATCTTCTTAGTCTTTCAACACTAATTTTATCCACTAGTCTAATGGGTGTATTATCTATCATTTTTTTACATATCCAAATCACTCATTTAATCTCAATTATTCTTTTTTTCCATTCAAATTGTATATTTATACTTTTTAACAAAGAGTTACAAGTCCCTACTAGACTCAAAGTTACGAGAGACTTTCCTCAAATATACATAAGAAGAGGAACCTATGACTACTTGTTAGGACAAGGATAGAGAAGAGCGTTTATAAAAGACAATGTTGAATCTTTTCTTATGGTTTAGCCCATTAATACAAGCAGGTTAGCACAACAATTAGCCTACCTAACAAAAATTTTTGAAGATAAGGTTAATGGTGTCATGGATGTTAAAAAGTTATTTGAACCCACAATAGAGACAACAGGGCACGACACAAATCTTATCAGCCAATATCATCAGAGGGAGTTTGATTCCACCTTAAAATATCGTGAATTCAGTTTGATAATAACTACAAGCTAATGAGAAGATCTTCAACATCAACTTCAAGGACAGTAGTCTATTATAGGTAGGAGAAGTCAAGAGTAACCAATACAGTGAGAAATCAACAACCACAACCACCATTATCAAAAGAAATTGATACAATCCGATCATTTTTATTTTGTTAAGAAACTTGGGGTTTGGAAAGTTCATTTGATTGTGATTAAATTTCTTGGAGGATTGGGTTTTGAATTAGGGTCCAAAAGCAACGTATAAAGCTCAATAGATCCCCAAGCCATAAGAACAGGGTGACCTGAGATGATTTCCAAACTATTTGATTCTTTGAATTGAAACCTTATAGCACGCCCCAGTTCGACTCATCTTCTTTTCCCTGTTTCTACTACATTGTGCGGCTATGTCGCCCTTTTTAGTTTCTCATCTTCTTCTTCTTATATTCTTCCTTCTTCCTTATTCTTCTTTGTTTCATGTGTTGAGCCTATCAGAGGCCCTTTCTTATTGGATTCCGCCTCCACTTTTAACGAATTAGGAATTGAAATGACAAGAATGGATAAGAATAATGGAGAAATAGGATAAGATAAGCAAAATTTGTTAGTAATCTAATTGCTTAGTTATGTAATTAACTATACTATAGGTTATCCCCGCCATCGCTTATTCAATTTATCCTTGCATGATGGAATTTCGGAAAAAAACTCAATTTTTGGTACAATATACTAAATTGCGATAGTTACATTTATATTAAACTTTAGAGAAATTGTTTAATAACTAAATTAATTTATAAATGCTACTATATTTTATAATTTATATATACTTTTATATATCAAAATAATCGAAATAAAATGTAAAATTTTATAGAAATTGTTTTGAAGATTTTCAGGATGTTCAAAAAATGAGGTATACTTTTTTTTAAGAAAATTTTAATTTGTATTTTTGAAATTTTAGGCATTACAACACTCCCCTCCTTATAAGAACTTCACCCTTGAAATTCTTTTCATTGATAATCATTCAACAAATTTCTATCTCATTTCTTAATATTTTTTCCAAGTTACTTTTTTTTAGATCCATGCCACACCTCACTTTAACACAAGGAATTTGTTTGCTCCTTGGGTTTTTAACATCAAATTTCAATATTATTTCATGTTCCTCAATATATGTTGGATCTTTACGTACATTAATTTTGTCAAGTAGTATTTTTTGTGTGCATATATAACCCATTTCATCAAAATTGATGCATGAAAAACATCAAATATATCAAACATATCAGGCGACAGTGCTAATCTGTAAACAACGATATCAATTCGTTCAATGATTTTAAATGGTCCTATAAATTTAGGACTCAATTTATCTCTTTGACCAAATCTAACAATACCTCTCATAGTTTTGACTTTCAAAAATATAAAATCTTTGACTTCAACTTTACCATTATGTGCTTAGGGTCATAGTATTTTTGTTGATAATCCTAAGTATCTTTTAGTCTATCTCTGATTAGCCTAATTTCTCTATATCCTTATCGACTAATTCAAAACCCATCAATTGTCATTCTCCTACTTCAAACCAATTTAAAGGAATTAAGCATTTTTTACTATAGAACGCTTAAACGCTACATAGGATGCCATTTGAATATTGAATTTTAATTATTATTATTATATAAAAATTAAATAATTAAAATATTATCTTTCCAATTGCCTCCAAAATTCATTACATGTAAACTCAACAAATCTTTAGGCATTTGAATAGTTCCTTCTAACTGGCCACCAATTTGTAGATGAAATATTGTACTGAGATTTAATTTTGTGCCCAAATTTTTATGAATGATATTCTACATTCTATAAGTAAATTTGTCATCCCTATTTGGTACTATCACTTTTGGAATGCCATGTAATCTAATAATTCCCTTCATATATAATCTTGTTAACTTAATAACTGGATATCTATTTGATAGGACAAAGTGAATAGACTAGTTAAACTATCAATTATCACCCAAATGCAATCGTGATTCTATCTAGATCTAGGAAATCTAATAATAAAATAAATTGCAATTTATTCTCACCTCCATCCTAAAATTGGTAATGACTGAAATAGTCCACTTAATCTCTCTCGTCATGTTCATAAATATACTTGCTCAACTAATTTCTAATATTCCAGGCTAGTTTTTTGAATTTCTTTAATTATGTCTATAAAGTTGGTTCCACAATCAACTAATGTAATATATCTATCAAATCTTCTAACATCTTATTGCAAAATTTCCATTTTTTAATCAATTCAGGATCGTCATAATCATCCAACTTATAATGCTGGTGAACTTTCGACTTAAAATATCAAATATTACATTTGCTTTTTCAGGACAATACTGTAAATTCAAATCATAATCTTTAATCAATTAAAGTCATCTTCTTTACCTCCATTTTAACTATTTCTATGTGGAGAGATATTTCAAACTCTGATGATTAGTAAATATTTCATATTTTATCCAATACAAATAGTATATCCAAAATTTCAAAGCAACGACTAACACTATCAATTCTAAATCATAGATTGGATAATTTCTCTCATGCAATTTCTACCATCTTGATAGATAAACTATTACTTTTATATTTTGCATTAAAATGAACATCAATCATTTTCAAGATGCATCACTGTAAATTTGAAATCATTCTATTCTTGATGGTTAACACTAGTGCAGTTATCGAATACCTTTTAAATTCTTGAAAATTATTTTCACATTTTTCTGTCAATTCAAATTTAGCATTATTTCACAAAAATCTAAACAATGGCATAGCTATCTATGAGAACCTCTTAACAAACCTCCTAAATATCTTGTCAAACCTAAAAAACTACAAACCTCTTTAACATTCTTTGATGTAAATCATTCTAATATTATTTTAAAATTTTTCATGATCCACCAAAATTCCTTGACCACTAATTATGTGCCCCAAAAATATAACGCTACAACAACAAGAAGTTTATCCCACTAAATGCAACACTACTCAGTTAAAATTTACATTTCAAAAACTTTACATACATCTAATTATTAATTAACAACTCCAATAATATCCTCAAATGTTTAGCATAATCTTCAAAATATCATCAATGAATATAATAAAAATTTGGACAATATATGCCTTGAAAATTTGATTCATTGAATTTATAAAAATAACAAGAGCATTTGTTAACCCAAATGAGTTCCAAAAGGTCTTGATTATACATATATTATATATTTAAGTCTAACTTGATAATATTATAATCTCAAATTAATTCTAAAAAATAGAATAACCCACTCCAATTGATCAAATAAATCATTAATCATTAGCAATGGGTATTTGTTCTTGATTGTCACTTTAGTCAACTTCCCATAATTGATGCACATTCTCATAGATTTATCTTTCTTCTTAACCAAAAATACAGATGCACTTCAAGGCAAATTATTTGATCTAGTGAATCATTTATTAATAAATTTCCACAATTCTTTAGGAGTCATTCCGTAAGGAAATTTAAATATAGCTAATGTTCCCGGCTATAATTCAATCATAAATTCAAATTCTCTTTCAGGAGGCAATCTTAGTGTTCCTAATGGAACATATAAAAAAAAACTCTACTATAACTAAAATATCCTTCAATTCTTGAATATTTTACTTCAATTTTTGCTAAAAATACCAACTCTCCACTTTGCATCCATTTATTGATCCTTAATGCACTGATCGGTGATGACACCATAGTCTTATCAAAAGAAAAATAAAATGACTTCTCGTTAGGCAAATCAAATCCTATTCTTTTCTTTAACATTCAAGAGTAGAAAAATGTATTACTAAATAGTCAATTCCCAAAAAAAATTAAAAGACATCATAGGTATTAAAATTAACTATGTTATTAGTTAACCATGAACATTAATATCCACAATGCATTTTCTATTCACATGAATACTATCTCCAAACGTCGGCCTTCCGATGACCCGGTTAGGAGAGTAGATGTATTGGATTTGGCCTATGCTAAGAAAGGTAGAAATAAATCTAAAAAGACTTGGCTCTTTGAATGTTGTCTCCTCATTTGACATATTCTGAATTACACTTCTATTTGAATTATCTTCAATTGCATGTAAGTTTTTGTGGTTGGCCGGAATGACCAACCATTCATTCTTCCTTGCATTTTTTCAAGCATATTTATACGTACAATTTATCATAAAATGATCATGTTAGGTTTAGGCCACTTCTAAACTCGACTAAATCACCTATACCCCAATCAGACCAACCTATAGCTCTGTGGAAATCATATTTAAAATAAATCTCATTCTTTGATTTATTTCAAAGAACCAGGTGCTTAAGGACTTTCTTACGGAAAGAACATGCTTAGTAGATAAAAAAGGGTGTTGCTGAGAGCATAGTAAGGATGATTCTATCCATTTAAAAAAGAATTTTTACTTACTAGCCATCAATGCATTTCTAAATATTGGAAAGAATTTCGTTAAGAAGATGAAAGCAACTTCAATCATGTATTATGGGAACTACTAAATACCAATGCAGATTTGTCAGATAAAACGGAATCTGCTACATCCCTTGCTTTCCATGAACTCTTGTCAATTGAAGTCAGATAGCGCAAATTAGGAGGACCAATCTGCAACAATAGATATTAGTGTTATATAGCTGAAAAATAAAATAAAAAATCACTTGGTGTGCTGATTCAATAAGCATTTTTTAATAAGTCAAATATTGAGTTCTTTCCACAGTATTATAATGTAAATATGCAATCTAGCAAAGGGTACATATGATGCACAAAGCTTTTAAAGGGCACATTTAAACCATTTTGATGCTCACAATCCAGTCAATAAGGCAAAACTCAAGCATTAAGGGCACATACGAAGCACAAAGCTTCCTCCATTGTGGGATTTATGAGGGGGCTGATGTACACATAATTACCCCTGTACATGCAAAAAGGGTGCCTTCATGACCCAAACCATACATCCAAATCACAATGGAGACAACATAACCACTACTCAAGTCCTATCCTCTAACCATGTAGCAAATGATTATTGGAAAAAAAATGAAAAATATCTAGATGGAGTTTGTATAGTTACTTCGAAGTTACCGAAACAGAGATGACAAGGTTATTAATCATGTCAACACGCTCAGATACAATGCGTTGCCGTGCATCAGCTGGATAAAATGTTATTGTTAGTCCGCGGATTTATTTATTAATTTTAGCCCTTATGCTTAACAAACAAAAAGCTTAGAGTCAAACAATTAACTAATGCAACTTAGAATCAAACAATTAAATAATCCAACTTACGTGATAAAGGAGCAGCAGATGAATATCGCTCTGGTTTCCTTGATTCCACCCTTGACAAAAAAACAATGCTTAGATTTCTGGTATAAAACTATGAGCTTCAAGTATATATTTTTCTTACTTAAACAGCAGTTGCAACAATTAATCCAACGTCTCTCTAGCTAAAAATGAAAACCATCTAGTAAAAAAGGTTAATGATAACATTTGCTAATAATACAACTTAAGATGCAGCACTCAAGAAAGAGAAGAAAAGAACATTAAAAATTCTTTGGAAAATATAATTTTGCCATACAAGTTGGGAACATAACAAAGGACAATGATTGGGAATCAGAAAACACGGGAAATGAAGTCCACAAAGGCTATGGAAACCTAGGAGAACAACAAGAAAGTTCAAAGTTGCCAATTCTAAAGTTTTGCATCAGCTAATGCAAATATGAGGTGTAGAAGGTTCATTTGCTACTCAGACTATTACAAGAGAAAAATTAATTGGAAATTCATAGATTAAGATAAGCAGAAGCAAAGGAAAATCAAAGACTAATGCATGTTATCAAGGATCATAGTGTACTGGAACATAAAAATCTTGAAGAGATTGTACATTTCTATCTTAAAATTATAGCTGCATGTGTTCAATTTGGATGGCTATTGGATATTCTTGTACCCCAACTGCACATGAATTGAATTTGATTATCTCTAATGAGAACTCTCTGAATATGAAATAAAACGGTCATGGGTCAAAGTTACAATCAATGTATTTGCTTTTCTATTAGATAAGAAACCAAAATACCAAGAAAATATATTTCATATAAATAAGTTATATGATGTTGTGCATTCCATTAGTTCACTTAACTAAACTGCCAAAGGGAGAAACTAAAAAAGAAGAGCACACATTTGCATATGCATAGCATATATTTACATGGTATAATGTCCATTGATATATATACATATGGGATGGAGCTTTCTTCTCCCAAAATGAGAATTATCATTCTCCACCAAATTAGATTTTGATATTATCACCATGAAATGCTTTTTTTTTTTTTTTTTGTCACCATGAAATGCTATTGTTTGATCGTCAATTGGATGTAGCAAATGAATGTCTACAATTGCATAATAACATATTGTGATTTCAAAGTGCAGAGAATTTCAAATGGCTAGGAATCAAATACATGGTATGTTGATTATCTTGATGGTATAAGCTAGCTTTGATTGGTGAAATACATGGATAAAATTTAACTTTGAAATAGCTTCTATTAATTTAATGATCCATTTATTTTCTCACATAATTGATTAATGATTAAATTATCATAAAATTGATGAAACTTGATCAAAATGTAAGTCTAACATATTAGATCACAAATAATGAGTGATCTTGAGTGTGAAGTTTATTAAAATTGGGAGCAAAAAGTCATTCTACTCCTATGAGGAGAAAAGTCTTTTACACACACAAATTATATATATATATATATATATATATATATATATAGCAAATTTGTATGAAAAGAAAGAATTCTAATACACTCCAAAAGGTTTGAGGAAGAGCTCAAATCAACTAACTAAATTGGTGGCCCAAACAAGGCTCGGGATGACATGATCAACCATTAAAAGAGCTTTGTGACGTCTCATAGAATCCATAATCGCATAGACCAACAGTACATAAATGATCTAATTTTACCAAACTCACCATAGATGATCTTGTATTAGCTAGAAACAAGTATTGTTGCCGCTCAAGACGATGGAAAAAATAATTAAAGAATAGATAAAACAAAAACAAAGATCGAAACAAATGATAGAAGATAAAAACGAAAGATACAGGATAAAATAAATACCGCGAGCCTTGGACTCTTCCGAAGACTGACGGGTGATATGTTGCCCTCCTCTAAGGGACTTCAAATCACGAGCCCGGACCCATCCTGCGGCTGGTAAAAACTCCGATTCCTTTCCATAGGAATCTCACTAACGCTCTCTCACAAGAACACAAGTGTGGACACAAATTTTTAATATCAATTCTTCATCATCATTACAATAGCTTAAGGCCCTATATATAGGCCACAACATAAGAAAAACTCAAAAATACAAAATTGCCCTTTGGGCCACACCACTCTGTTGACCTCTGGATCAAATCCAAAAGAGCAAAAAGAGAGAAAACCAAAAATCCAACGTGCATACCTATAAACCGTTGAGTCCCCAAAATCTGCCCGAAACCAGCCGCAAATCCTGCTGAGTTCGGCGCCGCGCGCGTCTCTTCCCGGAAAAGCTGCCCAAATCGTGTGCCAACTGGACGCCTCCCTCTTCGTTAAATACCCGATCCAAACGAGGGGTTCAGCCACACTTCCTCCATTCGCGCTCTTCTCCTTCCACGAAAAAAAGCCCCTCTCCTCTCCCACTGCCGAGCTCAAGCCGGCCTCTCTGCTCTCCCGATACCTCTCCTCTCAGCTGCTTCCCACAACTCCATCCTGCCGAACATCAAGCTCAAACCTCCTCCCTCCTCCCTCCTCCTTCCTCATTCCTTTCCCGTCACTGTGCCGACGCCTCTGACCGAACCTTCCCGTCGCCTCCAACCCAACGTCCTTGCTTCTCCGACTTCCTCTGCCGAGAGAGAGAGAGAGAGAGAGAGAGAGAGAGAGAGAGAGAGGAAGCCATCTCCTACCTCAACCGAGCTACCCCTACCCGAAGCAGATCCCGATCCCTCTCTGCTCCCGACCATAGCTCATACCTCCTCCCTCCTTTCCCGTCGCTGTGTCGACCCCAAGCCGCAGAGAGAGAGAGAGAGAGAAAGATTGAGAGGAAGAAAGAAGTCCTCATACCTCCTCTCCACGCCGAACTCCAGCCCGATCTCCATCCCTCTCCTCTATCCCGTTCACGCGCTTCTTTGGCCCATCCTTGGCCGAACCAGAGAGTGAGAGAGAGGTTTATTTATTTTGTCTTTTTATCTTATTTTATTATTATTATTATTATTATTATTATTATTATTATTATTATTATTATTATTATTATTATTATTATTATTATTATTATTATTATTATTATTATTATTATTATTATTATTATTATTATTATTATTATTATTATTATTATTATTATTATTATTATTATTATTATTATTATTATTATTATTATTATTATTATTATTATTATTATTATTATTATTATTATTATTATTATTATTATTATTATTATTATTATTATTATTATTATTATTATTATTATTATTATTATTATTATTATTATTATTATTATTATTATTATTATTATTATTATTATTATTATTATTATTATTATTATTATTATTATTATTATTATTATTATTATTATTATTATTATTATTATTATTATTATTATTATTATTATTATTATTATTATTATTATTATTATTATTATTATTATTATTATTATTATTATTATTATTATTATTATTATTATTATTATTATTATTATTATTATTATTATTATTATTATTATTATTATTATTATTATTATTATTATTATTATTATTATTATTATTATTATTATTATTATTATTATTATTATTATTATTATTATTATTATTATTATTATTATTATTATTATTATTATTATTATTATTATTATTATTATTATTATTATTATTATTATTATTATTATTATTATTATTATTATTATTATTATTATTATTATTATTATTATTATTATTATTATTATTATTATTATTATTATTATTATTATTATTATTATTATTATTATTATTATTATTATTATTATTATTATTATTATTATTATTATTATTATTATTATTATTATTATTATTATTATTATTATTATTATTATTATTATTATTATTATTATTATTATTATTATTATTATTATTATTATTATTATTATTATTATTATTATTATTATTATTATTATTATTATTATTATTATTATTATTATTATTATTATTATTATTATTATTATTATTATTATTATTATTATTATTATTATTATTATTATTATTATTATTATTATTATTATTATTATTATTATTATTATTATTATTATTATTATTATTATTATTATTATTATTATTATTATTATTATTATTATTATTATTATTATTATTATTATTATTATTATTATTATTATTATTATTATTATTATTATTATTATTATTATTATTATTATTATTATTATTATTATTATTATTATTATTATTATTATTATTATTATTATTATTATTATTATTATTATTATTATTATTATTATTATTATTATTATTATTATTATTATTATTATTATTATTATTATTATTATTATTATTATTATTATTATTATTATTATTATTATTATTATTATTATTATTATTATTATTATTATTATTATTATTATTATTATTATTATTATTATTATTATTATTATTATTATTATTATTATTATTATTATTATTATTATTATTATTATTATTATTATTATTATTATTATTATTATTATTATTATTATTATTATTATTATTATTATTATTATTATTATTATTATTATTATTATTATTATTATTATTATTATTATTATTATTATTATTATTATTATTATTATTATTATTATTATTATTATTATTATTATTATTATTATTATTATTATTATTATTATTATTATTATTATTATTATTATTATTATTATTATTATTATTATTATTATTATTATTATTATTATTATTATTATTATTATTATTATTATTATTATTATTATTATTATTATTATTATTATTATTATTATTATTATTATTATTATTATTATTATTATTATTATTATTATTATTATTATTATTATTATTATTATTATTATTATTATTATTATTATTATTATTATTATTATTATTATTATTATTATTATTATTATTATTATTATTATTATTATTATTATTATTATTATTATTATTATTATTATTATTATTATTATTATTATTATTATTATTATTATTATTATTATTATTATTATTATTATTATTATTATTATTATTATTATTATTATTATTATTATTATTATTATTATTATTATTATTATTATTATTATTATTATTATTATTATTATTATTATTATTATT